GTTTCCCGATCGTCGTCGTCTAGTATTACGAACCGCCGCGCGATTTCGACGTTCTCCGTTTGCGCGAAACGGTACGGCAGAAACGGCATGCAGAACACGGGGAACCGACGAGGAAAGGAGAGCGGAGCGAGGGAACGAGCGTGTTGTACCACTAAAATTAGAGCGACGTGACAGAGAAGGGGACGGGCTCCTTATAGAGCTTGTGCACGACGCCGGGAGCTTGCGGCCAGGGTTAGCAAACTGGCATTTTCTCTTTCTCGCCTCGAAGTATCGGATTACTTCGGGAACGTCGGTGCGCGCCGTCCGGCCCATTCAGCTTCGACTTTCCTCCGGATACCCCTTTTCCACGCAAGGTTCGGCCAAGCGCGAGCAATTTTTGTACATCCGCGGGTCCCATCCGTTTGCGCCTCTCGTGCCTCTTTCCCCGCGGGCGCTCTCTCCCTGCCGCCCCTTTTGCCGCCACCTCTCTCGCCCGGCCCTTCCGACTTCTTCCTCGTCCACACGACCTGTAATCGGTGAGATTTTCGATTTTCCATCCCTCGATCCTTGATCCTCGCCCGTTTATCTCTCGAATTTATCATCGCGTCGTTAACGAGTGGTCCGACCGAGATTGTTCATGCGGAATTGATCGTGACGTGCTTATCATCTCGAAAGCTGGTACCAGTACCAAGTTACACGCCTAGTTGAGTTATAAAAGCTGTGACAGCCGTGTTAAACGCAGAATTCATTTTCCGATTTTACTGCAAGAATATCAAAAGTGTTACGCGACGCGATATAATCTGAATTACGCAACCCTTTTCCCGCGCAGTGTGCCGCTTTCGTCGGAACAGTGTGATCTAATTAGCGATACTTAACGTGAAAACATATCCGATTATTTAATCGCTCTGCTTTAAAAATCTCTCTGTATCTCTCTCTCTCTCTCTTTCTTTCTATCTCTCTCGCCGTCTGCAAATCAACCTCTGGTAATCAACATCTCGTTTTTGTGTTGCAGCGCTTTAAACAGCCACCAACATGTCTGACGACGAGGAACAATACTCGTAAGTAGTCCACCGATTGTTTACACTCTCGAGCCAACGCCGATCAATATAAATTATTGTCCATTATTCACGCGTCCGCAGTTCTCAATCGCTTATTTTGAAAACTGATGCAATTCCAATTTTCAAACAAAGTTCACACTGAGAAAAATTTTTCGATTGCACGAACAAGTAGTATACACGCATACAAAATGCATTCTGATCATACCAAT